TTATTTTACATTAATTGTTTTATTTTTCAAGGCGTTCACATTTTGTTCATTTATAGTGCTAACGTTTCCAAATAAAGATAAACATACATGAACTTGCAAGTACAAAGTTACACCTGCATGATGAAAAAATATTGAATATATTAATAAAACCTAGAAACTTCGATCGTACTGTTACATTCAATATTTTCAGTGCATTTAAAAACTGAGCACAAAAATAAGTTTGCGTTAGACTTCTATTACATTCTACTGAATGTCTCCAGCATAGATAATTTATCTTTCATGACACCTTTTAATTGAAAAACAAATTATCTACAAATTAATAAACATACGGCAGAAATCCATTCTCGTGAAGTTTCTAGGTTCATTGTATAATATTTGTATTACTACATGGTGCTTGGACATTTAAATCTGAATTGTTTCGTGTCAATGATTCCTGCCGACTGCCCATCTAGTGCGCCCACTTTCTTTATGCTTTTATATTCTTATTCTATTTATTGTTTTAAAAAAATGTTTCAAATGATAATAATTCTAATTAATATTTTTCAGTTAAAACTACAATACCCAGGTAATTCTTTCATTTTCCTTATGTTATTTTATAATTTATATATATTAATGCAGCAGCAGTCATTGAAACTTTACCCTTAAAATTCCAATATGCATGTTTTCTTTACTTTATTTTTGCTGAGGCTACTGCATGATGTTTCAGGGATTTCAACCTCGTTATACACCCCACTTGAAAAGTGGGAGGGTATATATTAATCGGGATGTCCCTCCGTTCCTTACGCTTTGGGGTACCCATCTCTTATCCACAACTCCTCTCATACCGCTGTATGAAATTTGATGAGACTTTTACAGAATCTTTATTACATAGTGCCATTGTGCACCTCCTATGTTACTTTTTGATCTGAAACATATTTTGGGTTACCCATAACAAAACATTGACACTGTCATTATATTCATATGGGAGGCGGGGGTATCATTGAGTGAGTTCATTGCTCACAGTACCTCTAGTTTAAAGTAGGCATTTCATAAATTCTAGAATACATAATCTAATACATGAAAAAAAAATCACTTGCCTTGGCCCTTAACTCGACAATTATGTATCGACGACGTACGTATTATCAGTTAACAATATTTACTTTTTTAGAACTTGGATATAATTCTACAGTTACTTCATTAAAATATTGACCAATGCGAGTAAAGCATGGTCGGAAAATGAACTTTGTCGCGACCTTTCAATACCCAATCACACTTAACAAAATATTTTTTTCTTTACTGATGATGTCAATGTTGATTTCAATTGCGATGATAACAAATATTGTCATTGGCTGAATGACGTCACAGCATAGAGGTGTAAATATTCAAGATAACGACACTTTATGTGATCAAGCATCCACGGGTAGGAGAGAGCTACATGCGGACTTCGAACCGTGGCTTGAGACGATGATGTACGATACGATAAGGGCAAACTAGTAACTATTAAAAGTAACAGTATAAGTATTTTTCTTCATTTTGAATTTGATCGTGAAACAATGATGTTTATTTCTTGTTCTGAGGTTTATTATACCCCCCCCCGCTTGATAAGCGGGAGGGTATATAGTAATCGTTAATTCCGTCCGTCTGTACGTCTGTCCGTCCGTCCGTCTGTTACGCTTTGGGGTACCAATCTCTTATCCGCAACTCCTCTCATACCACTGAATGGAATTTGATGAAACTTTCACAGAATCTTTATTACATATTGCCATTGAGCACCTCTTATTTTACTTTTTGATCCGACACATATTTTAGGTTTTCCGACCACAGCAAAAAATGGACTTTGCCATTAAAACTACTAGTATAAGGAGGCGGTGGGTATCATTTAGTGAGCTCATCGCTCACAGTACCTCTAGTTTTAATTTGTTGTTATTGTTGTTGATCGTTTTCTCCACTGCTTTGTCCCATGGGGATCGTATTTGTTAGAAATTCGAGACGTTATGTTTTCACGTTACATTGCCATTAAGTGTGCTCTGTGGGTACAAAACATGTTAATTTTTAAAATGAAGTAAATTCAGTTAAATCGAATGAGATGCAACTTTACACATCAACACAGCAAATATTTTCTCATGTTATACTGTGCTTATTTCAAATTTCTAGTGAATAATATAACAAAAATTGGGTAATATAAAAAAGATTGACATTGTCCACAAATTTTTCGAACAACCCTCGTAATTTTGAAAATTTACGAAGATTTTCACTATGCGGTCATAGGATTCACGGAGCAATTACTTGTCATTAAGTGACGTGACAATCAGATTTCGAACCCGTTAAGGTTTTTTCCATACTTCTAAATATCTTTCAATCTTTAGATTTAATTTGGTTTCCTTTTTTTCTACTTTTAAATAAAATTTCAAGACATGATACTTTTTTTCCATGTAGACAAGGGCAAATTTAATATTTTTACATTTTCCAATTTTATCAGAACGTGATTTTTAGTATTTTTCAGACCCGAGACTGACGTCATTACTTGTCACGCTGCTGCCAGAACTAGCCTACATGTAAAACGCAGACTAACCTAGCTAGCTTTGCATTCTGTTTTTTTTGATATACTACAGTATTCATGTGTGTATAAATTATCTATTTTTGCCACTTGTTACCTAATGTGCAATTATGTTAACCATTATTATTATGCATTTCTTTGAATTTCATGATTTGTACATGAGTTGTGTATTCGGTGAACTTATTTCCCGCCAAATGCAACATATGCGTTGGTTTAGGATATCGATAGAATTGATAGAACTATTAAGTAATTAATAATGTCATAATGTCTTGATCATAGTTTTGCATAATAACGAGGTTGCTGCAACTTTATTTATAGATTCAGTGTAATAAACATGACATTGTGTAAATTGTATGCAGTATTCCGGAATTATTGATTCTTCAGTACGGAACTAGGTCGAGGTTTTACTTTTAGCAGGCGTTATATATTTCCTGTTTATTTGTTTACCGATAAGTTGTTTTCATTTGTATGCATAAAATAGTGATTCAAAGTAAATTGAACACATAGAATAGATTGTATGAATAAGATTTCATGACGGAGCAAATGATTAAAGATTTCCTTACATTTTTAATGTAATTTCTGTTCATAATAATAGGGGAATAACTTGTCGTAATGTATACTTTGACTTGTGACCCTGATATATGATATATCAGTTTGATGGTTAAGATATTGATGGATAAGTCTTTTATTTTTCTTGGCTGAATACATGTAGAAGTCTGTTATTTGGTTGCGACTATTTATATAATTCTTTAATAAGAGTCAATCTAGGTATTAGGATAGTTGTGATATTATTATAATAGATATTATCAATATCTGTGTTATATTAAGTTGACCAGTTTAATCATATTAGTGTTTACACTTTATCGTGAGTACATAATAGTACTATGTTTTATATTTAGTGTAGGTCTCACTATATATGCTTTTATGACTTTAGTGTTAAGTAGTTTGATCAAGAGTTGTGCTTGCTCATGTTATAAAGGTGAGGTACTAGGGTTATTTAGGATTAATGACATCATGAACCATCATTCATAGTCCGAAAAATCTGACGTTTTCCTGGCTTTTTTAAGATTTTGACATTTTACATGCCAGGCATGAAAAATGTCAAAATCGTAAAAAAGTCAGGAAAACGTCAGTTTTTTCGGACTACATCATTCAGTGTATACACATTGTACAAACATTATAACTGTTGATTGTTATTGTACTTTGTTCTTTGCAGATATCACTGCTACCTTTTGGTTTATTCAACAAAGTGGTGAACCTAAATAAAAGTCTTGTCGCTTGGCTACGTCTATGTCTTTTGTGCTGTTTCGGATATTAGTGAGATCTTGAAATAAATGTAAGAGCAGTTAAGCGGTAAGGTATGAAAAAAAGATATATCAGGAGTTGATCATTGAAAATGTCAATCCTTCCATTCTTACAAAGCTACTAGCTTTTGAATATTTTTTCCTTTGTTTCTTTGTACGTGTAGGCAATTTACAACAGCATCTAGGAGCATTTTAGTCTCTTCTTAGACATTTTCCTGTCTACACACGTAATTTTAAGTTGCTTGTTTCTCCATGACGTTCAATGACGTTCCCATTCTTGCCTTTCTTTTAATGCGTTGATTATTTATAAATTCTTATAAAGGAGTCATATACCCTCCAATCCATCAATACTGTAGCAACAGGTAAAATATCATTAATCTTTTTTGCACTACAACTGTGCAATTTTTAATATCTATAAAACCTCTACTTAAACATGCGAAAACAAAAGATGCACTATTGTGCCTGGTGCAGGCAGATAGTTAACCGATTCTTTTACTTGGTAGGCAACAGTTACACTGAAAACACATGAAGCAAGTCAAGGTCACACGAAAACAAATTTATTCTCCGAGCATACATGGTTATGCCTGAGTGAGTTTGCGAGAACGTGTGTGGTAAAAAAAACTACAAAAAAATACAGTCTTACAAATAATGTACCAAAAGTTGTTGAACAGAGATGGTATTCAAACACAAAAATATATTACAATTTAAGTGACCAAAATGGCGTGACATTTACCTTCATGAAAACTTTAAAAAAAAGTTCAAATAATGTGGAAATTATATAGCTCAAAAATAACATAAAAAGACTTACATGGTGGCTTTAGGCAACCAAAATATAGGATGCATGGTGATTTACAAAATAAAGTAACAGCCACGCCAGGGCTGGTCAAGCAGGTCAACAGGAAGTGAGTACAAAGTAGTTAACTCATACCAAAAAATAGTAACAGAATCATGGTAGTTATGTCATACCAAGGATCAGTGATCCATGTAAGTTTTCAACAATAATAAGAATGCATATAATAGACAACACATATTCCATGAAGCATGATTTATCAAAATAAAATAGCTGATATTTTTTTTAAGGATCACTGGAAAACATCAAATTTTTGTATATTTATTAGCAAATATGTAAAGTTTTTTCTCTGAGGAAGTTAAACCGATTTCATTAAAAAGCACGTTCACAGAAGAACTTGTCCGCGAACTTTTCTTACAACCCTCGTATACATGCATCACAGGGGATGATTCTTTTACTCCAGGTATTGGATCACTTTTATTTCACCCGAAATAAAACACCCTACCCACAACCTCCCCTCCCTGTCCACACTCAGTCCAACAGGATTCTCTAGTCCACAATCGTCAACACACTTGAGAAAGTGTCCATTTTTATCTAAGATATGAAGAGAGGCGTTTTTGAAATCAGTTATAATGATCTGACTCAGTGAGTCTGTCACAAGGTATGCAGGATAAAATGGATTCTTCCTCCTGGCTGGTGTACCGTCGTAACGGAATCGGACTTTTCCTGTCTTGTTCATCACGATCACTGTTTCGGCATTTGAATTAGTGGCACAAATGTCACTATTGTTATTTTCCTCTACATAAACTCCCAATTCCCCACCTTTAAATATATTTTGTCCATGGTCATCTTTATCTATTTCTTGTCTTGCCGTTTGTCCATGATAGCGGACAATTTTGTAATGACTTTTATCAGCAGTGTGCATACTAACTAGAAAGTCTCCTGATCTGGTACAGCATAGTCCACATAGAACCCATCCCAGAGGTAGAGTCAGAGTCTCTATCCTCCCCTGTCTGACAATGTTCACTGTTCTGCTGTTATTATCACCGTATATCAGTTCTCCCTGCCTGGTCACCGAAATATCAGCTGGACCTTTTTCACAGTTGGTGAGGATCTTGTCCTTTAAAGATCCCTGCATGGTAATACGTCTTATGAATTTGTCTTCACCAAAAGCCCAAACTTCATTGAATCCAATACAGGTAATGACACCTAAAGGTTTTATTCCAGAAGGAATGGTGGCAATAATTTTAGTTTTCTCCAATAATTTTTTAACAGATAAAATGGAGACATCATCTGTCAGACTTGATATGGATGTTTGTGTCAGTGTAGCCCTATATTTTCCTAATTCTATGCTGAGTTCTCTCCCCTGAACTGTGTTGCTATTTAAGGAAGGAATCTTTACATCAACCTCTGTAGGAATGTCTCTGAAATCCTTTAGTTCTGATTTGTAGCTTGTAACATCCGATACTTTATTGGATTTTAATATTTTCTTGTTTTCTTTTGTTATCAGTTCTAATTTTGTCCCCGAATCCTGAAGCCTGGACTGGTGTGATTTGAGAACTGTGAGTCTTCTATCCTTCATTTTCCTAATGGTTGATTGTAGTGTGTCGAAAATGTTTTCCACTTCTTCGTGCCAGATCTTTCTGAGATTTTCTCCCTCTCTCTCCATTGCTTTAAATTTCTCAGTCAAGTTGGATATCTTCTGATCAATGTCTGCTCCACTTTGGGCGAATCTTGAAATATAATACTCGATTTCTTCTGTTTCTTTTTTGATTTCTTCTTTCATCTGTTGTACAACCTCTGACATATCTTTGACAGCATGGCCGCTATGGGGACCCGTGACACATCTGAAGCAGACGGGGACATCACACTGTTGGCAATGTCCCTCACATTTCTGGTTTGGATGGGACGCACATGAGGAGAATACGAACCGTTCTCTTCTGTCTTTAAAAGGAACAATGTCATGTGTTTCAGACTTCAGATTTTCTACATGTTTATTAATACAGCCCCCACACAAGCTGACCTGACAGCTGTTACAGAACTGCTGGGTGGGGTTGTCACAAAGATCACACGTGATCAAGTCCTGTGCCCAAGTGGACGTAGACGCCATCTCTCATCCCTGTAAGATTAGATTTATGAAACATTATGCTTAACTTTTACTCGATTTCTCTCTCAAAAAAGTTTTGTCCCCATCCCGAAATTCTCTTTTATCGTGTATACTACACTCATATATTAATCTTAAGGGGATGTAACTCACCTTAATAAGCAAACTTTTCCTGATTATTTTCTCTTTAAACTAATGTAATGCATTCTTTTCTCCTTTAACCCGCCCCTTTGAAATTCCCCCGGAAGTTTAACTTTCAGTTTAGTATTGTACAAATATAGAGGGGTGGATTTAAGAATTCAGAAGGGGGATTCAGAGTTGAACGCAAATAATATCATAGCACTAGATTTAGTAGTTTGATGTCCTCGTGTTTTGAAAGTTAAAAAGCCTTTAAACGTGTCTATTATTTCATTTATCTGAAATTATCAAAAAACACACATGAAGCTTGACAATGAAAACTTTTTATGCAATAATTTTAATTCATTTTGAACAACTTATTTATGTCAAGGCTTTTTAAGTCATGGAAAGGATCTTATAGGCAGTTTGTATTTGAACCCTATAGTTAAAAACTACTAAGAAATAAAAATTAAAGAAACCATATACACAGAAATAAAATATAAATAAACTGTAGCATATCACAAATCAAAATTTGTTCAGGCAATGTAACCACACGTCAAATAAAAGGCAAGTAAGGTTCCTTCTGTAAGAAGTGTCAACATAAAATTTTCCTTGTAATTTTTCATCGATTTAATTACATTTAAATTTTATTTTTTCTAATTTTTAAATTAATTTTTTAAAATAATTTAGATATAAAAAATATAAGGTAAAATGAAGGGGGTTTCATTTGCCTTCTCATTTGATACCACTATGTGCATATGTAAATGCTTTTTGTTTCAAGCAATATCTCCAGAAGCCTATGAGCTTTTACAGTGGAATAAAAAATACCTTTGGACTTGGGATGTTTAATGGGGGGGGGGTCCAATCCACAAGCACCCGAACGGGCATCCCCCTAGATTTATGATATGCTATAACACCTGTATATTAAAGCCATATTTATTTTTTACAGCTTACAGTATTTTGAACAAGAATTTTTAAAAAGTTTTGGGTTTTTGAAATCAAATGTTAGACCATAACTCATTGCACCGACCGACCTGTGTAAAAAAAAAAACTCTTCCCCTTCGACCCCTACTAGATCCGCACATACTATTATTTTTGATTCCATGCCAGAGAATAACATTTATCAATTTCCTTTTATTTCCCTTCTCGAACCCCTTTGCTCGTTTAGATGTCCATTGAAATGTATTGTATCGTCACGGTCGTCACTATAAAAAGAAGTGGCTTTGAGGTATCTTGTGGGGATTTTATCTACCGAAATCCCAATAAAATTGAAGAATTCAATAATGCAACCGTGAAAACAATAGACTACCATGACTGATCTCCGATTTTGGTTACGTTTGTTCGTAAGATGCCGTTGTTTCTTTTATGAGAGGAAAGATGGAGGAATTCTGGTCCTCTCAACCACTCCTGGTAAAAATTTTGAGCAGAGTTCAATCCTCGCGTTCCTAGATATGTTCGTTGTTGATTTTACATAATTCCTCTGAGAATATTGGTTGTTCGTAAAATGTGCATAACACGATTGACTACACGTAATTGTAGAAACGTCTATAGTTTGATTGTCGAATAAAACTTTGTGGTTGTAAACTTGAATTCAGATGCATGTTGAGAATTATGCTACATCTACTACTAGCTGCCCCACTGAGTTTGTCTTGAAGCCTGAAGATTGTTTGGGTTTTTTTAAGATCTCCTAAAAAGTTTAAGACTACATTATTAGGAATTTATGCATAGGAACGTTTTAATCAAAAATCAATAAGAGTTTTTGGTCTTATTTTTCTCGGTATTGATGTCATAGATAATTAGCAAAATTTGAATTTGCTCTTTTTTGTGTTTATATGAATGCCTTTATAATGTCTAAATATGCCTTGTTTACTGATCTCTTCAGATTGTTTTTGTTTATTATTACAGTTGTGGAAAAGATTTTCGGGAAATTACAAATTTTAGGTTCCCTCGACACAAAGACTATTTTCTACCTCGAGAACCATAAATTTGCTATTTACATTACATTCCATAACAGCTAGGATAATCATCAACCTGAAAATTGACCACATTAATCTGTTTGTGATAAGTTAACATTTGTTTGAGTTGCAGGATGTATGCAACATGCACTCAAGGATTTAACGATAAAAAAGGTTTGTTTACATATAAAATCCTGTTATTTTAGAATAGGATGGAATTTTTTTTTTTTATGTAATGCAAATGGAATACCAGCAAATTTACACGTATGTCAAAGATATAGCCTGGGAATTCCATATTTATAGAGGTATGAAGGCCTTCAACAGGGCTAGAAACAGAGAGAGAAAGAAGCAACACTAGAAGAAAACAACATGGAAGTTCTTATAAAACAATTTGTTTTGTTTGGGCTGTTCGTTACAGGTGAGCTACGTTTAATTTCTCAGAAATTTTCAAGAAATTAAATATTGACCATGTATAACTTCATAATAATTATTCTATGCACATGTATTAGTAAATGAAGAAGTGCATAATGGTTAACAACTAATTACATCTTCAGATGTTGAACTGGAACAGTGTAATAAAAGAACTATATGCGGTATATTGCATATATTTGCCCCCACAAAAGTCAGATTTTGAAAACTTCCTGAAATGTGCTGAATTCAATAAATTGTAAGAGAAATATAAATTAACAGAACATATTATTGTTTCAAAGTAGTTTATTCACAATTTTTGTTTTTATGACGTCACAAACTAGTCCGATTTTATTATCCTTTTTCAGAAAGAGGACAAAATGGGCAAAATTTCAACAATTTAGCTTTAAAATTTATAGAGCGCAAGTTTGTTCGGGAACAATATTTACATATTTCATTAATATTATCATTCTACACATTATATTAAAGTATTGAGCCTGAACACACATGCGTTCGGTGACTTTTACTCAAAATATTGACAAAATATGTACATTTTTATGTAGAATTCATAAAAAACTGAAATTTTCGTCATTTTTGTGACGTCATTTTGTACATATGACGTCATTACTTATGAAAATATTCAGTGCTTTGAAGTCAGCATATACCCCCCTGTTTATGAACATAATTAAATATTTCTCCATCAAAGTGTAGTTTGGGAGGCAAATATCGGTTATTACCGAATAAAGTTCTTTAATCTCCGATCGTAGACCAAACCCCAACGCTGAATTCATGATCTGACATTTTACAAAACTAGTGAATGTTTACTAGTACTGTAGTACTGTTACTTTATTTTAGGCCGAAAGAAGATTTTAAAATAAGGCCATTCAAAGTTTTTTTCCTCTTAAGCGTCCGCTTATTTTAAATAAAATAAACAATTACTTACTCGTAAAACAATCATACAGAACAAAAAATAAAGCACAGTCAGATTTAGTTATATATAAAAAAGAAGTGATACAAGGAATATTATTATACCTCATATAAATAAACACAAGTAAAGAGGAATCTGATTGGCTAGTTACTTTCTTTATGTGTCGATATGATATATCCCGACGAGCTTGAGATAAAAGATACCACAGAGTATGACACATCTGTTTTATATTGGGATGTTTTACTTGAAAAAGACGTTAATGGTAACCTAACAACCAAGTTATATGATAAACGTGACAACTTTAACTTTTCTATCGTCAACTTCCCTTACTTATGCATCAATATACCTTCAAAAACCTGCATAAGGAGTTTACATGATGTATAGCAATTAGTTGATTCTATACGCAGGAGCATGATCTACGTATGTACATTTTTTAACACGAGGTATATTGAAAAACAAGTCGATGAAACAAAAATATCAGCAGTCTCATTTAAAGTCATCATTTTGTAAGTTCTATGGTCGATACAATGATCTTGTCAGCGATTGTATTTTGTCCTTAAGTCAATTGCTAACGTTTTTCGCAGTAATTATTCGTCAATTTTTTAAATACTGAATTGACGACGGATTTTTCCGTTATTTCCCGATCATGACTAAGCGAACACGGCGGGTGTGACCGGTTGGCAGAAAATGTTCACTTTTCCATAGGACCTGATCCCACCTCTAATGTTTTGAAGGTCTGTGTTTGCTCTGCTCCCATTTTGTACTGTTAAATAGACTTTTGAGCTTGAATGCTGTTCGTTATCGCCATATATTCCATTTCACCAGAATGATCAATTTTAGGGCTACTCTTTTTTTTTTCTTCTGCTATTTGGTATCTTAAACCAAATCGCATGCAGACCCTAAACAAATAAAAAAAATGGAATGGGCTAAATTTTACTTGCTCATATTGACAAATATTGAAAAGCTGTGACAGAATCTGTGCTTTTTAATAAAACATATGGAGATAACAAACAGTATTCAAGCTCAAAAGTCCATCAAATATTACAAAATTACTTTAATAAATCTCAAGAAATTAAATGAAAACTTTACCTTCTTGGCTCTTTTTTCATAGAAAAATACCATCAAAACAATAGTCCACGAAAACAATACGAAAACGATACAAATTATGAGCAAAGCAAACAGGAACCACTAAACTATCAGTTGTGTGATCACGTTCCATGGAGGAGTGAGCATCCCCTGCCAACTGGTAACTCTACACCATTTTCAGCATCATCGATGTTATTTCTTTTTAAACACTTCCTTTCTGTTATATAGCGTCCTGCTACAGTTGTTTATATGATGGTCAATGTAATGGAAAGGTCGTCTGTCCAACTGGTCAGGTAGCGGCGTGCTCTCGGAGACAGTGTTTTTGCAAAAGGGGAACACGTGAGTATTCAAAGCACGTGTTTGTAAAACTAATTTAATGTATTTTGCTATATAGTTTGAACAGAAAAAAATTATATTATAAACCAAAAATAAAGACACATTGCTGGCATGTATGATTCACACTGGTATGTTTTTTTTTAATCTAGGATGCACGATTGATAGTAATTGCAAAGGCGACTGCTACGAGTATCAGATATACTGTAAATCACATTTTATTCGATATATGATTGTCGGTCATTAAAAGTATTCCTTACGATTATATAGTTTTTGTCATTAAATAAGAAATTAAATGCTGAACAATAAAAATTTTTTTATATACGAGTCATTTTATTATTTGCCATATTTAGCAGACAGTAGTGTACTCTCGTCTTTGTTTTTTTCTTATAATATATTATTTTTTTTAGTGATGCATGCTCTTGTGTATCGAATAAACCGAGAGACATAAACCCCAAATGCAGTTAATCATGATGTGTCGCCACATAAGTAAGAGATGTTGAAAAGCTGAATGGTTGAAATCCATTGGTTTATCATAACGTGTTTTCCTGTAAGAAAACCATTGACGCCATCTTTTGAAAAAAAAAATCTCTAAAAATGAAACGTATGAAAGGTATGTCAGACTCTGTCGTATTTCAGGCCAGGCTGGGAATATATCGACTTTACATATGAATGAAAGTAATTAACTATTGTTAATACGGCGTTGATGTCTTGTACATAAATGTCAAGATGAAGAATAGAAAGCAAATATTTTCTTCTCATGTAAAAGATTCTGAATAAAATTTACTCTCTGTACGTGGATCAAAAATAGGTATGTTTATTTTTACCTATTGGAATTCCAGTAGAGTTTTAAAGGTTTAGTCTCCAAAACCTTCATTGGCTCGACTGATCACATCTTGAAAAAAATGAGACAGTTGTTCCTTAAAAATGGAACATTTCCTAGCAATATATTGGAATTGCCATGAGTACCAATTGCGACCCGTTATTAGCACATCTATTTACGTGTTCATATGAATCAAAATTTGTACAAAATCTTTTAAGTGAAAAGAAAAATGAACTTTTTGTGCACGTGTGATCAATTTCTAATAACAGGTAGGTTATTGACTAACAAGTTGATGAAGCAAACATATCAGCAGTGGCGTTTAAATTCATCATTTCGCAAGTTCCATGGTCGATATAATGGTCTTGTCAGCGAACACAATTCATCATTGAGTCAAATGCTTTCTGAATTTTTTCAAACTGATTGCGGTTGCTCGCTGAGTTGTCCACGAATTTTATCGGGTTTTTTTCGAACATGAGAAGGAGCACATTGTGACTGGTCGTCAGCGGATTCTCACTTCTCCATGGCACCTGCTCCCATCTCTGATCTTTTTGAGATCATGTTTGCCCTGGTGCTATTTTGAAATGTTAAGTTGATGTTTGAACTCGAATACTGTTAATTATCTCCACATACAGGTATTTCATTACAATAAATAAGTTCTACAAGCTGTGATATTTCTGTTCCTTTTAATGTAAACAGCAGTAAGCAATTTTATACGCATATATACATTGTAAGGCCTTGTAATTTGCTACTGCGTATTAAATGATAAATTGGCTGCAGGAATCACCGTCACATGTGGTGTATGACAAAGGACATGTTTATAGTGCAATTAGTTATTTACAAAATGATATATTTTATCATCATATATCGACATATGTTAGAAATACATCCAGGAATCTAGGCATATATAGAGGTTTACAGTTACTCAGCAGGTTGGCACAGGAAAAGACAAACCAAGGACGGTATGCAATTACTTCTGAAACACGTGGTCATCTTTTGGCTGTTTGTAACAGGTGAGTTAAATTATAAATGTGGATTTTCCCGGAAATTAACACCAAAAAAATCCAATTGTTTAGAATATAGGTAAAAAATTCTTCCCTCAGATATAAAGAAAACGAAAGTTGTCTTTGCATTGTTCTAAATATGCCATTTTTGTCGTGTAAATATATCTAATATCAGACATTGTTAACAACATTGCAAACTCTAACAAGGTTTTCACAGTTATCCAGGCATATTGTTCTGGAATACACAATTTTTGTCTATTTTATATGATAAATTGACTTTAAGTTCAAATTCAAATTTTTACCCATTTTGAACATCACACATTGTAAACAACATTACAAACTATAACAAGGTTTTATATAGAGTAACAAAACAAATAGTTATCCTGGCATATATCCTGGATAAAATATAAATCTATGTTTTCTTTTCTGGAGAGAAAAAAATGTGTGTTATTCATCCTAAAGAGTATCTGCCATTTTTTAACCTTAAAGGTCGGCAGATAAAAAATGATGAATAAAATAATAATGTGGTTATCAATCGATCCATTTTTAGTTACAGCCTACGGTTGTAAAAATGATGGTGAATGCGGTGGAAAGGTTGGCTGTCCAAGTGGTCAGGTGGAAAATTGCATAAAATCACGATGTACATGTAAAAAAGGGACAAGTGAGTATTTTGCAGAATTAAAAAATCAACCAAATACAAATACCATTTACAGTGAAATGAACCTGTTTCCTTTTAATACATCTGAAAATTTATGGAAAACACAAAACAGTATAGATTATTTGTATTAAGTACTGTTGATCAAACCCCATTAAGTCATTGATGGAAGATCAGGAGTGTTTCATTGATAAAATTATTGCTTATAAATATTGGACTAATTTTCAGTTTTTTTAATTCAGAATGTGTGTTTGATCGTAACTGCAAAGACGACTGCAACCCAAACCAAAAACCGGACTGTTACTGGTTTAGATGTTTTTGTCATAATTCTTAATAAAGAAGACAAACATTTTGTATATTGATTAATTGATGAGGTGTATGCGACGAACATACTTAATGCCAATGTATAGAAACAGACCAATGCAGTCAAAATATAATAAGTTTAATTTTTAAATGAGTTGTGTCTTAATTGACATTTTGAGAGATTACGTCTGTCACAAGAGGACTATTATGGAATGAAACTCTAAAACAAATTATATATTTAGAATTAATAGAACCTGATATTTGATCATGTATTCATACAACGTACGTCTTTAATTCAATCAGACTCTGGGCGGGTGTGAGGATGCTTCCTTCTCCGAAGTACCTGATCCCCTCTCTGAAATTTGAGAGGTCCATGCTTTATGCCTTACTTACATATTTGTATTGTTTACAAATATTTCAGATCGATCACTGTTTGGTATCTTTTTTCCTTTTTCTGTTTACCAATACAAAAAGTCCTTGTTTCAATAATTCTTTCTTTGTTTTGTGTCATTTAAAAGTGTGAGAACAGAATAACAGAAGTACAGAAGAATGTATTCATTACATTAAACTTTTCCGAATTGAAATTCATGCAGCATTTAGATAGAATGTTTTAATATTCTTATGCACAATCGAATGAAACATATGGAGATAATGAACAGTAAGATCAAAAGTCCTTAAAACAAAACAAAATAGGAGCAGAGTTAACACGGACCTCTAATACATCGGAGGTGGGATCAGGTGCCATAGAGGAGTGAGCATCCCCTGCCGACCGGTCACACCCGCCGTGTGCTCCTTGTCATGATCTGGAAAAAAACAAAACAAAATCCGTCTTCGATATGTTTCATTCCTTTATTCCTTAATAAATCAACATGTATTTTATCTAACTGGACTGACCGATCATATATGAATCACTGAGGTAATAGAAAAGAAGTAAAGCGGTGGATCGATCCGGTTCACGATTTTAAAATATCTACACAATCGTTTAAAACTCTTTATTATTTTACATTAAATGTTTAAGCTTAACAAGCTGACCAAAAATGAAGAGATTATGATGAATTTAATCACGTATAGCACCTACGTTAATATTGACTCAGACAACGTAATACAGTCATGTAACAAAAAGTCTTGTTTCTCCTAAGTTAAAAAGAAACATCCAAATGTGAAACAAAATTTTCGGACTCAGGGAAAACCTGGGGTTATTCCCGTATCAACTTGATTGAACTTTGATATCTAATAATTTTTGAGTCATCATAACGTATAAAGCTATATGGCATTAATCTGTCTCTGAATTTTCTGACCCTTTTGTCTAACTGCACAGTCCTTTACCAGAAGGTGGTGGTGTTTCAATGTGATAAGAAACTTTTTTTTTACCTACAGTAATAAAAGTATTCTATTTTCGTGTTGTTGAATTGAGTAAAGCAATGACCTAGCGTCGTTTTAGATACCTCTAGGGCTTGAGTAAAAACTGTATTTACGACGTACATTAACTGTTTTAAATCATATATTAGCCTTATATTCCCACATATGTTCAAACTATATCCGGGAAGCTTTGTTTATATAAACAATTTAAGATTTCTAACATATTGGTTCCCGAAGCGACGCGGTATGAGCATTTATTTACAAGTAGTCTTCCTCTAGCTATTTGTAACAGGTGAGTCTGTTTTATCTTGGATCTCTTTTTATAGGCTTAACATTGACTTTCCGGCTCCAATAATGACCATTTTTATGTATATATTATTATGGGCGAGATGTTTTAATTCAATAAAAGGAAAATGAAACAGTTTCATCTGATTTTTACACCAATTTTTATGTCAGCAATTCCTAGCTAAGGCAATTCTACTTATTAGCAAAATTTTTGAACACCATACGTTGATTTAAAAAGGAGATGTAGAACTTGAAACTCTTCATGATGTAAACATGGCTCCTGTCCTAATTTTGTTTATATATAGAAAATATCGTATTTATAACTTTAAAAGATTCAGCAAATAACTATAATAAAATATGTGGAGATAATGAACAGTATTCGAGGTCAAAAGGCCATTAAGCATTACAAAATAGGAACGGTGCAAATATGGACCTCCAAAAAATCATAGGTTGGATCAGAGGCCACGGAGGAGTGAGCATCCCCTGCAGACCTGTCACAACCGTCCTGTTCTCCTTGTCATATTCGGAAAATAACGTGAAAATCTATGGGTAACTCAGTGTATAAATAATGGCCTAACAATCAATATGAAAAAACTCAGCATTTGACTAATGATAAGTTCATGTTTTTCTTCACCCTATAACTATGGTCCTTCTGGACACTCATTACAGGTGACAAAATTATAGTTAATAATGAGGACCTTAGATCACTTATTTTAAAAGGCTCTAAATACGAGTATAGGGGAAACTGACCCTTCAACTGGCGTCGGAATTTCACAAATATTATGATTTCACCAGACGATGGGCCAGATATGAAAAAGACG